TGAGCGTCATATATGCTAAGCCTTACGCACGCTAATCTACTGCATAAAGGTAACAATTTTGGAACACGATCGGGAAGAGGACAAAGTCTCCTTTCTAGCACATACTAAACGCCTAATGACATTGATACAAAGACCCCGAATGCATTGACGAGTAAATGTGCATCAGGAACGGATTTTCCTACTTGTTCATCATAGTGATACGTTTGTAATACGCAATTACTCTGCTCATGGATCCCAGCTCAAAGACGCTAAGATCAAAATCAGGTCAGTCCCAGAAACTTTGGTTTTTATTCTATATCTAAGTACTAACGACAAATTGTAGTTTGTTTTCTACGTTAATGAATTGGCACTATAGTTCGTTTTTCTTAAGTTCGACCCTCACTCAAATCGTCTCTTTGAATACAGCACGAGAATTGCTAGCTGAATTACTGAGAAAACTGACTGACGCACATTGATTTCACATGGACGATTAATTTTATTCAAAAGTATTTCTTCCTGGCTCTTATTTCCCAGACTCCTAGCTCGTATTTGCCTATATATACAACCCCACAGGGAAAGACGACTTGTCAGAAATTATAATTGAACTAGTCAATAAATCGTACGGCGTTTAACAGAATGGTATATTATCGGTGTTAAGAACTTATTTGGAAAATATTATTCGTATCTCTAGTACAATGTGCGCTAACCAGTTTTTTAAGTAATTCAGCTAGCAATTCTCGTGCTTTGTTCAAAAGGATGTTTACAGTGAGGGTCGAACTTAGAAAAAACGAACTATAAGTCATGATCGCAACCTTGCGGTACTTTAATGCCATTTCGATTTTGCAGTACTTTAACGCCAACAAAATTTTGCAGTGTTTTAACGCCTGTTCTGTCTTGCTATTGGTGTCGACATTTCTGGCGGACCTTACAGTTTTATGTTTCTCTATTTTGATTTTGAATTTCTGGTTTGGGACGTTATATAGTTGATATTTGAAGGACTTATGTATTCCATTCTAAAAACGAATATCTTTTACCAAGAATATTAGCAAAGGTATCAGTATATTTATCTTGTTCCATGTTTGATGTTAGGTTCTGACTGATGAAGTCACTGCTCCATGGATCCCCAGTTCACATCATTTTTAGCAGCTGTAGTTAAAGGGGCTTAGGTGAGCATGAAAATCATTGTTCTTCTTACGCCTTATATTATTAAATATGACCTGAATCTGGTTCTAAAATACAAACTGTGAAGCGAAGTGAAATGACCATGGCATGAGTGTTTTACTTTGCAACACAAGGTTGCTCAATTGGAAAGAAAACATTCTCTTCTTGCACAGTAGGTACACAATTTTCCAAATGAATTTCGGGAACGGGTCCATCTGGTTCCAATGCTGACCTAGACCGGGTCTGACCGGTTCTGGAAATGTGCCAGTCAGACTGGGTCCGGGTCCGGGTCCCAAAATTTTCCAGTTTTGCCACCTCTAGTACCTAGGTACCAATTGCCAAATGCTTTTGGCTCATTAGGCGCCTGTGCCTGAGCCTCTGAGGCTCTTGTAAGTCTGAAATATGGAGTTAAGTGATGGCTAAAGCTGAGGGGGTGATCTAGCATTGATTATTAGGGTGTTGATGGTGACTTGTAAACGACTCAAATTTTTTTGAGTCGATTCTTTGTTTGAGTCTGAAAATTTGAATCGATTCATCAAATGACTCATGATGTTAAATTTAATTGATTCGAATCAACTCATGACTCATCAAGTTCCTCGATGAAGTGATTCGAATCAACTCATGACTCATCGAAAAACGATTTGATTCTGAGTCGATTCACGAATCAACTCAGAGTCGTTTACAAGTCTGCTACGAATGGAGGCCGAAATCGGCCGTAAGGAGGTAGACAGACAGGTTTTCGGACACGGGCTACAAGATGGCTATCTCAGTTTCAATCCCCATGTTAAAGGTGGCCCTTTCCCTTTAATGAATGGACAATAAAAAAAATCTTCTGAGACCGACGGTTCTCAATCGGAAGTCGAAAGAGCGTTACTAGAAGTGCATCATACTGCACCGTAAAAACCCGTCAGCTCGCGAAGTTGACATTTGAAGAGCATTGCAAAACGGCTTCACGCCGGCGGATGCGAGCTCCGTCCCTCTCCACTGCGCAGGTGGTGTGCCCAGAGACCTTACTGAGCTTTGAAACGTCATCGCGGTGTCTAGAAACCACATTGAAGTCGATTGAGGCCTCTGTCTTAACAGGAAATGCAAAGTGAGTCGGGGAGATGAATATATCTGTGGGCGAACCAAGGTGGTAATTTCCTGGAGTCATGGCCGACCATGAATAGTGAGTGTGAACTGCAGCGCGGCATATTCGCCAAAATGATCCATTCCATATGAAAGCATATACGCTGGAAGGGCCACACTACGCATATTGATAGCCAGGATGAATATTATGAAGGATCCCAGCGTTAATGTAGCCAGAAATACCAGCGTCAGAATCCACTTATGGAGGTGGACGGTGGCATAGTTATGTGATTATGAAATTGTTTCAGAGCTTCTGGGCCGGTCTTTATGAGAAGCTTCTGCTGTGCGGGCTAAGTGCCAGAGGGATCAGTTGCGCTCCACTGCAGTGACGAGGAAATACTCAACAATGTTGAAAATCTCCGGTAGGTACTTATCATACCAGCTGCCGTCTAAAGAAAGCAGCCCTGGCTAACAAAGGATCGGTTCAGATCGCGTCATAGTTCCCCCGCAAACTCCCATTGCGAATGGCGAAACGACAGGTCAACAATGGCTCTCGGGATGGATGTGATTCCAATGCAACGAAAACCAAATGATTGTGCTGAGATCGGTGAGCCTTTCGTAAAAAATGATTTCTTTGTTGCATTAACCCGCGCGGGGCTGGGGGGGGGGGTAAATTTTACCCCCCCTCGCGAATTTTTGCGATATCTCAAAAACGGCGGCGCGCAGCGCCGCCAAACTTTCAGTACCTTTTCTTACATCAATTTGACACGTTCCCTGAAAATTTGAGCGAAATCCGTCGGAAAATTTTTGAGAAATCGACGTTTTAGTGACATCATGTTCGCCATTTTCGCCTCAAAAACGGCAAAAGTTCAAACGCCGCTAACATCTTCATTTTTAAAGGAATCAAGATGTAACAAAAAAGGTTATACGTAATTTTACTTTGTCTATCAAATGGCTATCTCGGTTTTTTGAAAATTTTGGATTTTTGCCTAAATTTTTTCAAAAAACTGACTTTTTTGGGAAAATCATTATAAAATCCAAAATTTTGAGTCTATCGAAAAAACCGGAATATATGTCAGAGAAGTGGTCTATGTGCACCTACATACCAAATTTTAGAAGAATCGGTTCAAAAATGTGGGAGTTATTCAAAATTTTATGACGTCACGACACACAATTTTTTTGAAAAATGACTTTTTTGGAAGTTCTAGACCTCGTACGGAAACAAAAATAGCACCATTCGATTCGCCGTGAAACACTGCATCAGATAGACACCTTTTTAGGCCTTAACAACCAACTTCAAAATTTGACCTCACTTGACCTGACCTTGACCTGACCTCGACCTGAAATTCATCCAGAGGTGGTCCATATCACTTATTGAGTGTGCCTATTGAATTTTATGAGTAAAATGACCCATAAAACATGTGTCGCACATGCCCTTTTCTATATTTTGTTTTTTGGTGACCTGACCTGACCTGACCTGACCTTGACCTTGACCTTTGAATGATATTGTATGCAACGAATATTGTCTTGGTAGCCTAAGAACACGTTTTGGGCGATCAGTCTCAGTCCATGACTCCATTCTTCGGTAACTACGGTGCAAGGCCGATACTGTAGAAACTTGCAATTTGTACCCTTGACCTGACCTTGACCTTGACCTCAAACTTTAAATTAAGTACATGTTTTTAGTAGTTCGTGATGAGAGCTTTCGATTGGCGTTTGAATTTTCCAAATCGGACCATTAGTTCGGGAGATAACAGGGGGGGTAAAATTTACCCCCCCCAGCCCCGCGCGTTCGGCTGGAGACCCCAGCCCCGCGCGGGTTAAGCGGACGTTGTCCTTTTCCCCATTGGGAGGCGAGTCTCTCAATTGTACCGAAAACCTACGCCTGATAAACTTCCTCTGAATGAAATTCAATTAGGCGCTCACAATATTTTCCGGAACGTAAGCTGGCCGCTCCAGAACTTAAGACGTATCATGCAATTATCATGCAAGGCCTCTGTCCCGTAACGGAATATTTATTTTCAGCCGTCGAGATGGGCACAGCGTCGGTATCGTTTCGATTCTCCGCGGGCGGCGGCGGCGTCGGGCGCGTTCGCCGACGGTTCCCGGACGGAGTGGAGGGAGGGGATCTCTCCCCACTCCACCTCTGGCTGAAATACACCGTCACGTTCGGACATTGCCGTGGGCCGGTCCGGGCCGTCCCTGTCCCAGACACGTTCGCGGAGAATCCGACAACGCGCCGGCGTATCGGCCAGCAACACTGAGTGGTTTCACAAACTTCCCAAAACGCCGCACAAGTTAGGCCCGAGACAACTCGCTAACTAAAGACGAACACTTTGTTTCGAGCCAGCCCGGGCAGACTCAGAAGCCGACATGATCCTATCCTCAGAGGTGCCGTCAAAACCCGCGTCGAGAAAACTCAGAAATATCGCCGCCCAAATGGCGCGCGGTCCGTCGAAATGGACAGACACTCAATTACAAAGTGTTTCGAATTCATTCTTAACATAAATCCGAACGTTATTAAAATGGTGCAAGGTGCACAACAAACAGGTAATAACCTTAACTTGATGAATGTTGTTTTGAAGTATGAACATTATTTTTTCCTCATTCAATAGTCATAGGACAATGTTATTTTTATCAATAAATGACAAAATTTCTTTCTAATCTAGAAGTTAACAGTGTGTTGTTTCAGTCTTCAATTGACCGTCTAACTACAACGTTGGACAGGGTTAGCCGGCACTTCATGCTCCAGATCCAGCCGGTACTCCATTTCAAATCCAGCGGGTACTTACACTGCAGGTCCAGTCGAGCGATTGTGTCCTGCGACTGGCTCTCCCAGGCCTGGTGCAGAGCCACACAGCGCAGGTACGAGCCCGCCTGGCGGCGCAGAAACGTGTGCCGCAGCGTGGAAACAGCCGTCCAGGTTCGTGGCACGTCCGAGTCACTGATGTTCTGCTGAGTGGCGTGCGCCGTGAGGTCCTCCTCGCCTGGCGGAGAGGTCAGGTCAGGTCAGGTTAGGGTCAGGTCAGGTCAGCGTTAAAGTCGAAAGCATGCCTATGTATGTAGTCTCCTACGATCACGGACTTGTCTTTCCTGGGCTCAACGTGGGACAACTCTCAAGCTTCTACTGTTTTTTTTTTTTTACTAAAAAATTCACATTGTCCATTGCAGTTAGCATACCTATTCATGTGATTTCTTTCGTTTTCTGTAAGCATAATGTATCATTCCATCGAGAGCGATCGTCACGAAATAGCCGCGCGCTCCGACCCACATTGGCCATATGCGGGTCAGTGGTGGCGCGGGCAGCCCGGGAAATAACTCCTCCATGCACTGCACACATGCAACCTGCAGCTCGTTTGACGTAACCAGCCCAGCTGCGTCCATAAACAGTAGCAGTGCGGCGCTGAATCAGACTGCACTGCGGGCGCACCTATCCCGTGTCGGGAGACATTTGGACGCCTTATCGCCGTAAACACATGTCTGAGCACGGAGAGGTGGTAACTAGGTCCGTTTGTTCCGCCGACACGGCAGGGTGATGACACAGTGGCCACAGAGGTGGGTTCACTGTACGAGTCTGATAATGGGGTTAGAACCACGCATTTATCGCGGTCGTTATACATTTTCGTTATATAAACAAGGGCAAGGAAGCGATGAATTGTTCAAAGTCACGATATGAATTTGTCCCACAATGTATCCACTCAAATAGCAGCTTGGAATTGTGGAATTATCAATTAGAAACTACAAAAAAACTTATTTATTTCCGGCCATCTCCTATGACAACGAATTTTGTAGATCTTATTTGTCATTTGGCTTCGCCATTGAAAATGCCGATGGGTTGTGCGCACGTTTTCGAAAACAAATAGTGAGCGGCGTTGCTCCTAAATTACTTCAAACTCTTCGAAATATCTTGTTTCAAATGTGTTCAGTTCTGTATACGGGCATAACTGCTACGCAAAATGCACTTACCTGCTTTACAAAATCACCCAACCTTCCCCTAAAAGAATTGCCATTTTTAGGCAGAACAGCAATTAGCCAATTAGCCTTTGCTTTTCAGCATATCGATCGGTGGAAAGACGAGAGGCGGAGTGCGCACTTACCGACGAACCAGCGGATAGCTGCTGGAGGGTTTCCACCGGCGGAGGTGCATTGGACCGTCACCAGGTCCTCCAGTCGCGCGGTCAGGTTACGGCCCGAGGCGATAGCCACCGAGGAGTACACGATCTGAGGTGGCTCCGGGACGACTGAAAGAGAGGGGTGGGGTCAGAAACACAGAGAGACAAAGGTAGAATACAGTCAGAGGCGACTCAGGAACGGCTGAAAGAGAGGGTGGGTGATATCAGAAATACACAAAGTTAAAGGTAGCACGCAGTCTCGATGGCTCAGGTACGAGTAAAAAATGGGGACTGGGCCATTGGTAAATCACACATGCATAGGCAAAGACGGAATATACTCGTACATACTTACCAACTGGACGGTATCAGTTGAAGGCGGGACACGGTCTCAAACTCTCAACTGACTAGGGTCCGACTGAACACTGCTTTTGGGGACGAATGCAGAGCATGCTCTGAACCGGCTAGGACATAACGGAGCACGAGATAGGGTATGGGGTGCAGATATTCAGCCAATTACCATCCACTTCAGTGACGAAAAATAAGGACTCAAGTTAAACTTCTCCCAATTTGTTTGCATCCGCCATCCCAAAGAACTGTACCCAAAGAGCGGGATGAGTCGAAACGGGGCTAGAAAGTCCGAAAAAAAGAGGGGCACGAGTTCTCTTTTGCACCGACTATGTTAAGTGCACGGTGTCGGGAGCAATCGAGAGGCTTAGCTATAGAGAAGCTGAACAACGTCTCAGATCTTGGTATAAGGTGAGAGGGTGTTATACTCGTAGTGCAAGAAACCCGTCGATATATAAACCTCTGCACACTTGGAACACTTCACTCGCAAAGGAAAACATTAGATCCCTGATACTAAGCCCCTTTGACCCATTCTTTCTATTTATTGTCTCCGAATGTAACATAAAACGCAACATCAAACATAGCTTTTTAAAGTTTCCCTCTGAGACCATATTGTAATGATGGATCACTGAGCTACCGAAATCGGCGGTCAAACGACGTTTTGGTTCAGCTCAGATCGATGCGATACTGCGTTGAAAAAATCAAATGTTACCTTATTCAGAAACTATTTCGAAACAGGAAAACTTCTGAGAAAAAAAATAGTTCCCTGAGTTTACGAAGAGGAGAAATACGAGCACGCTTAGCATGCACCGTAAGTGATGGGGCTCTTGAAGAATTTAACGACCTCAATATTTTACAGTCGGCGTAGTCACATTTTAATGAAGTCATTCAACCAACTCATGAGCTTCGGAGTTGATGATCAAGTTAACTTTGCATTGAAACACGCAGGCTCCGTCGTTAGCAAAATATTAGCAGTTTCACGAATAGCGGATAAGATTATTAAAACGTGCAGCAATCTATGAAAGATTTGCTGAAATACAACCGGGCATAATACAATGTTAACTGGGCCCAAATACAACTGGAATTAAGAACGTATACCGTAAAGTGGGGCTATTTGAAACGGATTTTACAGTTTTTGGTCTCTCCCTTTAAAACGGCTCATATTTCCTATAGCATGTAAATTGCAAAAATGTAGTTCTCTGTGAGCTCTTTCATATAGGTGTATTTTGGTTCAGCTAGTAATAATGGCTAAGGTTAGGGGAGAGCGGGGCCAGTTGAACCACTTTTTATATATTGACATGTACAGCGAGATCTAGTTGTCATATCGAAAAATGCACAATGCCATAAAAAATATGCTCTTTTGGCTTTATTTTAAGATATGTAAAATTATGTTTTAAACATATTTTGCTGCCAAACGCATGCTTATAAAACAGCTCTACGCCCGTTTCAAATGACCCCGATTCGAGGGTCAATTGAACCAGCCCATGGGGTCAATTGCACCTATCCTTAACAATGGGATGTTTTCCTCTTTAAGGCCACTTTCTTAAGGAGATATTTTGTCCGGTTTACTTTTCCAAATGCTACATTCAATAGGTCGTTGGAAAGCTAAAAGTGCAAAGTTCCTCATAATAGGTGACATAAAGTACATAGACTATGGTAAAATGGGCGGATGAGAAAAATGAGAAATATCTCAGGCTATAGTGTGCTTTCAAGCAAAAGGCTGGAGAAAAAGGGGTAAAAAATTGAGCTCTATTAAACTACTATTTCAGTTTAAAAGCTCATTTCAAAGGTGGACTATTTCTTTTAATGTTTACAGCCCCTGAACAATAACCATTGCAAAGGTCACCGGGGTCCATTGAAACGGCCTGTGGCCCTGTTTCAACTGACCCTCAGAGAAGCGTTTCAATTGACCCCATTCGCTCCCGCCATCTCGCACGCGCCGTAAAGCACATGTCAAACGAGCTGGAGGGACGGCATCATGCTGAATAAAGGGCCAAATAAGGTGTTATTCCGGAGCCAGGAGTTCTTCTTTCAGCAAACAAAGGTATATGAGATATCACAAAATATTCATAAGAACGATTTCTCCCAAACGCCCCTCAAAAACACAAAAACAAGTGTCAAATCAAAATTACCGTCCGTTTGCCGCCCAAACGCCGTTGACAAAGGAAGTGGTCGAGCGCGGATGCGCAGTGGTGTCGGCAACGCCATATGTTGCATACTGTTGAAAATAAAGCCATGTTTCATCTGACCCCGTGTTTCAACTGGCCCCGCTCTCCCCTATTTTTTATGTTAAAGCCTGTCTCAAATAGCCCCATAGGGTGGGGCTATTTGAGACAGTTTTAGTTGCAAGGAAATTAAAGAAAATCGGTCACGCTAGAGATAATTTTTTAAACACCATGCATTTGGAAATTGAATTTTGATCATTTTGGCAAAAATTGTTTTTTCAAAGACTGTTATATGACCTTTATATTCAATCTTTTCCTTTTTCGTAGGACACTTCATTTCGGTAGGGTATAAAATTGCATCACTATATGCTAAGGCTATCATAATATGATGTGACCCATAGCTTTCAAACTGACAGGATGATCATCAAGGACTATTTTAAAGTCATCGACAGTAAAATTTTGAAAGTAAGTTTTTGTATATAGCCCCGGTGACGTGAAAACAGATAAACCGAAAGTCGGTGGGGCTATTTGAGACAATCTCGCTACCTTATGAAGCACACTGTAATGAATCAAACAAGGCAAAAGGTTTCCCAAAACATTTGAGTGAATGGTCTGCATGATTATTTGTTCCATTGTACATCTCCATGCGAAGAAATAACAGAAAACTGTTAAACGGTTTTGATTTTATGCCGATTTTCCTCGATCGCTGCATGCCGTATCAATTGGCCGGTTACCCTACCACATCAAGTACTTGGATAGGCTCACCTAACAGTACGTTCATGTGTTAAGTAACATTCGATGGTGTTTTTTGGTCAACCAAGGTAGACATATGTTGATTGTCGAATGAGTCAGTGACTGATGAAGCACATTTTAAGCACATATTCATCAGAATAACTAGTTTGGTCACCAGCTAAAGGGTTATTATGTTACACTACGAAGATGTAAATATTGCTTGCTGCTAAAAGTACCTACCATGAACCCACTGCACGTTTATGACCACGACCGATTCACCGGTGTTGCTCATGTCGAACGGTCGATGCACTTCAGGTAGATGGCGGTAAGTCTTCTCGGGTGCATCGCATCACCGTTATCATCAGCTATTTGGCATATCCGTTGAGGTTTGACCAGGTGGGCATCATCGGGATTCTGAGACAATGGGTTACGCAATCGGCAGTATCGATAACAATATAAAATATTTTCATGAAAAATGTGCTTAACCTATAAGCAAAAAGGTAATAGCGATAGATACAGTGGCGAAGCTGTTAAAACTTCAACTTTTTTAAGCTGCAGAGTGCAGGTAGGGGTCCTTTTCGAGCAACTTAAATTGTGCGTTTTCCTGTATTTCGTTTTTCATTGCAAATTTCTTTCGTAACTTTTCGAAATTTTCAAAAAGGTTATTCAGAGCATCCATTGTTCAATTCCACATCAGTCTAAGCAAAAATGACGAAAAAACATCAAACGGTTTTCATTTTACAGCGATTTTACTATACCATTACCTTACTGTCTCAAATAGCCCCACTGTCTCAAATAGCCCCACTTTACGGTATGTAATTTAATGTGGCTGCTAAGTCACAATACCTTAAACACAATTACGGAGATTCTAGAGTCAACTGAATAAATCATTTCAGCTACATGTTTTAATTACCGACATAGATAACATGAAACTCTGGTTATCAATGTTGATTGGTTATCTCTGGCTATCTATGTTGATAGAAAGCATGATTCATGTCATCTATGTTACCGATAAGCTGATTGCAGTAAAAGGTCTTGTTTTATCCAGCCAGCTTACTTTCCGGGCTCACATTTTCAGTGAAATGGGAACGAAAAGGTATTACTTCTGTCTTCCATTCGGAATATTGCAAATGCTAAGTGACCGAGCAGTATTCAGCATGATGTGCCAGATTTAAGACACCATGTATCTATACATACGTTTCATTATTATTTAGTCGGAAGATAGCGATTCAATCAGCGGAGGAAATATCTGTATGACAGAGTTAGACATTCACCTGACACAGTTCGTAAATTGACCGTCTTCAGCAATTTAAACGCGTTCTTTATTTAGACATTCCACGAGCTCATGAACGAACTCCGGTTACCATCGTAGGTGGGTGATATATGGTTTTCGCTCAGCAGAACATTATACAGCTGACCGGTCAGGTCGGCCTGATCAGCGCCACTTCGTCAGAAAAGCTGAACTATTGCCAGACTAAAGTCTTTCATCTGTCTCAGCCATTAGCGTCGCCACGGGGGGGCAAGCGGGGCAGCTTGCCCCCCCAACCTCGGACCGGGCACCCCCTGAGATCGATACAGATCCGATGAGATTTTGGAGTCGGGGAAAAAATGGGGGTACCTTTCTGAGAATGCCTGTGAGGTCAGACTCGGTTGGAGCGTGCAGTTCAAACCAGAGTCTGACTCGCAGTCGCCAAAATCTTCAAGACTCCGAGTCCAGACTCGGAAATGTCAATGCTGCGATCCATTCCATGTTCCTAGTTCGTTCTTTATTACATTTTACAGCTGATTTTCATAAGTTTTGGAGTGCTGACACAATTTTCGTTCAAAGCGTGAAACGAAATCTTAGGGGCATTTCTCAACTCTCGTCAAATGTCTGCGACAGGCTCAAGTACCGTACAAGTGTCGCAGGGCTCATGAGCTTGCTTTAAACAAAGGCTCCTAAGGAGCTCCACTGAGCCCTAAAGAAGCTTTCAGAGGGCCCAAACCGGCCTCTGAAAGTTCCACTGGTGTCCATGTTCTCTGAGGGCCCATACAGGGATCTTCGAGCCTTCGAAGTTCGAACATTTCTGAGAACCTTAACTGGCCTCTGATAGTTCAGTCAAACTTTGGAGGCGACAGACCTTGCTAACCCCAAGCCGGCATCTGAGGGGTCACAGCTCACGTGTCCCTCTGAGGTCCGCAACACCATATTTATTATGTCCCTACGTAGGGTCCTTAGGGATTCGACACAGACCCCGAGGGTTCACACTGTTATCCGAGGGCTCCAGGCTCACCCTGGGCCTAGTCTCTTAGCGCCCGCCGCCCACACTGGCTTCTGAGGGCCCCACCTTGGGCTCGGAAAGCCCTAAAGCACCACGTACACGTAAATATTTGAGGTGACCCACGCCGATCTCCGGGACCCTAAGCATGCTTCTGAGAGTCAGCACTGACCCTTAGTGGCCTGAAATGGCCTGGAAGTCCCAAACCTATCTCTGATGGATCCCTTGCCGCTATGCCGTGCGTAACTTTTGGTTCCGTTTAACAGTTTTTGTGCACGTTTGCAGCGCTTCCCTTCACACGAAAAACGAGAAACTTTTGTTCACACTCGAGTGAACAAAACACTTCCTCTCACTAGAGCAAAGATGAATTAGGTACTTCCGATTCACACTTCCGACATTCACTCTCCGCCGAATGCCCAACTTAGCTACGATCGGCGGCTGGGATAAGTCCTATGCATTTCACGTAAAACCTCTGCATGCATGCGTGAATGGAGGTTTTAGCAGGGTGATCCGATTAAATGGAGCGTTTTTCACCTTTTTCTGGGTAATGATCATTAGAGTCGAGCGTCTGCACAGGGGCCCTCTGCAGTGCGTCGGCAATCGCAGCCACTATATACTAGTTATAATTCTACCAGTCGTTTTTGTCATGTAATTTCAAAATTTCGAATTTTTCTGTAAAAATTACATGTCATAGCTAGAAGGAAACCTTTGTCACCATCGGATTCCTCGCACCATTGCGCGTCGAATGATATGTAAAACGAGTGAGTAAAGACTGGGGAAAGGCAAGTTTTAGCACAAAAGTTGATTTTGCCCCCCCAACCGAAAATCTCTGGCGACGCCTATGGTCTCAGCCCACTGGGGAGCACTGGAGAAATACTTTGACCCGACAGCTCCCGACTTGAAATAGGATAAAGCATCGGACGTAGACCGCACCTCACGCTGACAAATATACGAGTATCAACTGCCTTTGAAATCATTGTCTTCAAATAAAATGTTCAAAAGCGCTATAGCACTCACTTCCGCCAACACCTACTGGCTACTACCAAAATGGGTTTATTGAGTGCTCAATATATTGTGGCCCAGGCAAGCAAACAAAATTCTTTACATTTCCACCAAAAATACATTTTTTTATTTCATAGACACTCGAATGACAAATGAACATCCATAAGCAAAAATCCCATAAACAAATTCACCAGTGTCTTCTCCCGCCACCAAATGCCAAGAAGGAAACACGCCGCACATTTTGTCTTCCACTTTTTTCCTCGCTATCATGAATGCCCCCCATCCGTAACATCATATCAGTGTCGACCCAGCAATGGCTCGCAAATAAAAAGAAGTGCGCCCGGGCCGGCGCTGCGAGATGCGCTGCCGCGCGCGAGGGGAGGGAGACGGATGGCTCCTGGGTGAGCCGGGCGAGCCGCTCTTGGGGCCGCCGAGTGCGCCGCACGCCCCGATGTGAGGGGTTCTGAGGCCGCCGGGCCGCCCGCGCCCGCTCCAGACACTAGAGGTAATCGGGCGTGGGCCACCAGTCGGAGATACCAACGGTCGGAGGTGAGGGAACTGGACCGAGAGCGAAAGGGCTCGTGGAGGAGCGGTCAGCGGTATCGGTCTGTTGTGATAGATGGGCTGGTCTTCTATCGATGGCCTATTGTCTACAGTCTTCGGGCAAGCCCCGGTAATCCGATAGGGCTAGTAACTGCTTAGGCTAAACGAGCAGTTGCAGAATAGGTACTGACTTCAGCAGAAAATGACCTCTGCCTCGAGCGGGGAATGGTCTGTGACCTTTCACAACAAACGGGAACTTCCTTTGGCCTCACTAGAGACTATCCTCCGACCCAATAAATCATTGACATCAGGACTGACCTCTGACGACGAGCGGCGCGGGCACCGACCGAAGTGCGTCCTGCGTCTGGAAGCTGCTGGCCGTGACCTGACACGACCACAGGCCGTCGTCGTACTTCAAATCGGCCCCGAGCACTCGCAGAGAGCAGTCACCTCGATCCATCTCAGCCTCATTGGCCCACTCGTACTTGTTCTTCTCCGGACCAATCGGCTGTCGGGAGAGGACACATAATGACGTCAGTGTGGCAAATGACGTCATCAGGGGTAGTTGTCAGTTCAGCTGTGACAAGGAGGAACTCTGCTGGCGGCTGTGGAAAATGATGATTACATCGAGTTCGTGTCTGAACGATGTTAAATTTCATTGGTTGGAGCCCGATGAGCAGGTTATGTTTTTACGTTGTCAGCTGATTCAGACCCGACGGGGTGGGAAATGTTAATCGGTCATCGGCGAGCGTGCTTGGGAAACAGAAGAGAACAGAGCACGACGGTAATAAAGTTCAGCCACTCTCATGGATTCTCCCAGGATTGTGATGGAAATGCACGACCTGATTCGCACAGATACCGGATATGAAACCCCAAGCTGGCCAAGCTAGAACGAAACAATGATATGACAGGAATGACGCAAACACTACAAGGCTTATGAAGAGGAACCCATGATGATGAAAACACCGCACCTCATGCAGCTTATAATTGATTGGCGTTTGCCAAACAATATGCGTGCAAACATGCAGGCATGTACGGTATGCAGATGGAAAGGCTGACAAGCCATTCGACGCCCTCGTCCAATGCTTAGTGTTGAGTTAAAGCCAATTATGTCCAATTAAATCGTAAAAAATGATAAGTGACAGGATCCCTGAAACAGGTTCTAAAACGCGGCTTCCCGCTCATGGGTGCTTCACAACACATTATCCAAGAATTTAGGTCATGTGCCGAAAAGCGCAGCTTTTCATGGCTATATCAGCAATTTAAAAGCATTCCTTCATGGTTACACAGCTTCACAGCTCCCCATTTTCTCAGTTTCAGTAAACATTCCCAGATAAACACACACAACAGCCTTTGACGGCCGATCTAAGGCACGAACGGCCCTTGGTGGGCGGCATTGGCCGGTATAACCCACAGCTGCCGGTCAATCGAACGGGAATCTCCACCGGCCAGGATGGAGTCGGCGCCACACGATCCAACGGCCGCATATGTCCTTTACATGGCGCCGGCACGCCAGCGAGCCTGATCCGTCCCAGATTGGTCCCGTCAGGGGAGGGAGGGGAGGGGAGGGGAGGGAGGGGGAGGGCGCTGACCGGGTCCGTAACACGAACACCGCGTCAGCATTCGGTGGTGTCACAGTGGCGCAAATGTGATGAATATTGGCGCAGAGTCACTACTGAGGCTTGACGCAGACAATGCAATAGCCAAAATCTGTCTCGAAACAAAGCAAGCCGTCTGATGCGAGGACGCATCTTTGAACTGCCAGAATGCATTGGCGCTCGGACAAATTGATACAAATAATCTCTTTCGAAATGTTTGTAAATCTAAAGCATATTACCTAGAAAATGGATACCATTAAATATTACATCAATCAAACTTACATTTAACGCGTTGATGATGATTCAATATGCAAATAGAGATAAACATGACACATACCTATTTGAGCTTAGCGTCACGCCATTGACGCTGTCGTCTCTGGCGCTCTCGAAATAATATCATGCGCAAAAATGACGTAATCGCGGACATCCAGACTCGACTGTGATTGCCCTCTGCAGACTTTATTTGACGCCACGGAGAAAGGTCTGGCTAAATTGGCCGGCATTATTCAAGCCACGACTGCTTTTGGCATTATCAGGTGGCATATGATGAAACAGGCCGGTCGTCCTGGGCTAACTGCCCCTTCCCCACTGCCCACTTCCATGGCACTGCAAATTGGGGGTGATATGGATCTCTTTTGGTGTCAGGAGCAGACGCTGCATGTTACCATGTATCACATTTCTTGTGTCACAACAGGCATAATTCATGTCTTATATAAGGAGGAATGCTGGTGTCTTCGATCGAAGATGTTAATTTATACCTTTACTTCATTCAACCCAAATATATGCGCCGCGGGATTATTCAAACATCTTGCATATGATCATGCTCGTTGGGTAATCACTACGCGTATATGTTGGTACGTAAATAGATAGTTTAGTTTTTTTCAATAGTTATCTATTCGGCTAAGCTTTGCAATATGGATCGACCGAAATCCTACTAGAATTGGCTAGATCCATTACCAATATACCTTTGCCGTGTCCTTTAAATGTCAGGGTATTCCATTTCATTGGTTACGTAAGGCGAAAATGATGGAAGCTTGGCCACTTTTATTTTCACCTAATTACATTTTAACAGAACACGAGAAGCAATGCATTTCAGTGTTCCTTTCCTTCAGCTGAACCGATAACTTTTACCCAAACAAAGGGCTCTGTGGGTATACACTACACGTATTTTCATGTGTCAGAGACCTGAGTCTCCCTCACATCGCTCAGCTGAATCGCCCAGGAGTTGGGACCGGCTGGCACGCGCTCCACCCCTGAAGGAGGGTCCGGGCCGCACCCCGCCCGGTCGTGCAGTGTGAGAACGCCACACCTGAGCCGGAGAACGCGGCTACAGAATCACGCCACCGTTTTTTCTCTCCGTCTAAAACACGAGGGTGAGGCGAAATTGTCTAATCGAACGAGCTCCACGCATGAAGCTCCCGCCGTGTGGTGAATAATTAGCGAACGGGCGAGGTCTCGAGCGGGGGAGAGTCCCGCAAGGCAGTTTCCCAGACAGGAATTTATTTATTTTGGTTAAAGCAGACACTCATTTTTATTCGGTTTGTTACACAAACTCTTTAAAATCAAATCTCCAATTACGTACTAAATGTGTAAGCAGTGATATCTCGTGCAACACTCCTGAATTAAACGTTCCATGTTGGGGCAATTCGTTTTCGGCTCTATTTCTGTGGCGGCGCTATAAATCACACACCGCAAACATAATAAATCGACAGTTTAAGTGAGACAGAGTGTGCGGCAGTATGTCACCATGAGGCCAGGATGCCGGTGTGCTTATCGACCTAATGCCAGCGCTGTCGAGCTGTGGATAAATCAACGACCCGTCACAGTAACAGACGTGGGGTCGGGACGGTGATAGACGTGCCATTCGATTGGTGATTTCTTCTGCGTTAAAGCAGTCATTTTCCCAAACTGGTTATCTCAGAAGCCAGAGGTAACAACTTACAGAATGCTGCGCTAGCCATTGTGTGATGTGGATGCCCTCAATACATCCAAACATAATTACGAGGATTAAGTATACAGGTACTTACATATCCGTCCTTTTGCCAGGAGCACTGCCCGGCCTTGCTGTTGACCTTGCAGTGCAGCACGGCCGATTGACCCGGGTTGACCTCTGTGTATTGCGGCTCCTGATGGAAACTCTGTAGACAGGTCACCGCTGAAACACAAACAACATAACCTCCGATTAGTGAAAAAAGAAACGGACATTGCAACCATTTTCCATCACCAGTGTAGGTATTAATGTAGCCCCTTTTCTGAGGTTGGCAGGTTGGCACTGGTCAATGATCAGTTTATAAACTGCGTTTCATGCAGATGCGTTACTACGCTACCGCGTTACTTTTTCAATATCGGTAAACCATATATTGGATAGACCTTCTTGGCTACTCTTTGTACTTTTACAGATGAATTTACCCTTCCCAGTAGATGGGCCAAGGGGGTGGCTGGTGACACTCCTAACGTTTTTCGCAATTGTTCGCAACGCACTATCAAAAGAAAACTCTTGAGCCTTGCGTCATTTTCACCCTTGTGTTGGCGAGAAATCGAGCTCTCTTTCTCCGTGGTATATGCTGATAGTTTTCCAACCGCAAGCTCAAATGAGCCGACACTGAATGCGTATCCCTTGATTTCAGTTCTGCCAGGGAGAAGATGGATGATAATTTTCGCATTCATTCGTTCCCAGTTATTCAATCATCCAATTTCGTCGGGCTTTGGGTCTCTTCTGTCGGAGCTCGGCGGTTTGCAGCTGGCGGATAGAGCCGAGCCTCGGTCGACCCCAGTTACCCGAACTCCCTGGTGGGCCGGGGATGGCTGATTGGTCTCGTTAGCTCAGCGAATCACACGCTTCGCCAGCTGGTGACCGGCGAGAGGTCAACGAAGAGCGAATCCTCGACAGTGGGCAGGCTGCAGTGGGCGAGCTGGTTATAGCGGAAGAGACTGCGGCGTACATACTCGTAGCGCCTATCTTCACAAGATAGATAAGAATTAAGATAATACAATAAGCTGCAGTGGGCACTGGGCGAACTGATTACAAAAGCAAGGAAAGGAAGCGATGATTGCGGTAACGGTCATAGGGACAGTTACGGTTATTACGAGAGAGCAAGACGGGCTGAAGGCAGGAACTCTCCTGAAATCAGGATCAAATGGGCATGTTAATAAAGTTTGATGTCATATTTTGCTTCAAGCTTTTGCGGGATACGACCGAATAAGGTCAAAGAGAACTATTTTTGTACAGAACTGATTCTTCAAAAGTTCGAGAAATGTTGTATGAACTGCACCATCAAAGCTACTGACACTAAGGAAACAGTAACTTCGGTAGTATAGGTACAGAAGCTACTTTCTGCGCCAGAAGTTGGCATGGTCGCTGAAAAACCAATCTGGTTCCCGGTTGTTTATCGGCGGTGGAACAGATAAAAAGCACCTCACATATGTTCCCGAGCGGGCCATCCGAGTGAAATCGAACAGGCCATCAGCTCACTGGACACTGTGTTGATACCCGGGGCACGTGATGATGAACAAATGTACGGCCCATTACCGCCCGCTGTGAGACGGAGCGGCGACCGACGACCGACGACCGGCCGGCCGTCGCCCCCGCGTCCTCTCCCCGGCAGCACTTAGCGCCGCCTGTGTCCGAACAGCTGCGGCGATCGTCAACTGGACACTCAGTCCTCCAGCAGCGGCCAGGGGAGGGCATCAAACGCCGAATGGCGATACACTGGGCAGATATTGGCGGGCCAGTCCAGGGAACAAACAGTGTGAGCCGAATGATAAAGTAAAAGATAAAGCAGTTTTACAAAGAGAACCCGTAGACGTAAAATACAACATACAAGTGCAAAAAAAAAAGAAAATGCATTAAGACTTGCTTAAAACTGACAGGAAGGGACAAAGACAGCAACAAAACGGTTACCAAAGCTAGGAAACAAAAACGAAAACAAAATATCCATAAATTGAGCCCGCAACCGCTACACCACAGACCAATCTGTGTGTCTGTGCGAGAGACGGGAACTGTTAACAATCTAACCACATTCAAAGGACATTTGTCACGACCTATTAGTATAATTCAACAGACGGGATTGAGAAACATAAATAATGCAGCACCATTTCCCCCATTCGTGCCCGCGAGCCGCACTCCTCATGTTTCCCAGTTTCATCCATCACGTTCGCTTGATTGTGGCGTGCCAACCCTTTCACACAGTCCCTCTGTGCGCAGGCCGCGTGCTGCCACAATGCGAGCCATTTATCTCGGCCAGCTTGCTGACTGTTGTCGATTTGGTGGCGCAGATCTATCAATCTGAGGCGTTATTGAAAAACGTCCCCAGTCTCAGTCAGAGGGTCTCTGACAGCCCGGGGTCCGTGCCCGCGGATGATGATCAGAGCGACACTGGGCTTTGTGGATATATGACTTCTAATAAATTTGTCATCAACAAAATGAAACCGACATAAGCAAATTCGTATGTGAGTACGATCTCTTAATCGTACTCACGCATTAGATGCTTTGAAATTGTTAGCGCCAAGGGCTTAATTCTTCAGAGAAAAAAAAAACAGGAATTGCTCATAGCTGCCTTCAATGGACGATGGACAATTCACACACATATCCATGATGTTCATGTGACAAAAATGAAGAAGTAGTTTTTCAATGCGTATGAAGCCATACTAGGCAGATTATGCATCTAACACAGGCAATACAAAACGATAGCTATCTCGGTGTCGTTTCAGGTGAGCAGCTCTACCAAAAACACTAACAAAGGAAAGATCAGACCTGTAACACCATCGTATTATTGCCATTCTCTTCAATCTTAGGAGGCTGAAACCAGTTAATTTTATCGCCCGGAAAATGGAGATAAATTGTGCGATAAACTTTTGACGGCGCAGGGTGGAGACGCTGTTGTACTTGGGAGATTTACAGTGGCTTTTACGTTCGACGGTCGGTGTCTGCCGGCGGTGGCCGATACTGGTCAAAAGCACCAATAAATATCAACTGCTCGAAGAAAATGAAGAGCGCAGCTTGATCCAGCACCAGAGCCATCTCCAGAAGAAATATTTTCAACATCGAGGACAGTTTGTTCGGGTGGAGCCCTCGGCGAACGGACGGATAAAGGAGAGATTAATGAGCGCTGTCTTAGTGCTTCCGACTCGATCCACTTTGAAAGTGCCGATACAACGAACGTACACAAAGAAAATGCGACCGAGTTACAAAAGGTTTTCCATTTGAAAGCAGCTGTGCTAGCATGGATTGATGAACTCGACACATTTCATTCACGATCAAACTTGTGGAGTAGTGGCTACCTCAGAAGTAGCCACACCACCAATGACCAACGTAATCGTTCTGAGCACTTCCGTGGACTGCATTTCCAGCATAAGTATTACAGCAATCCCCGCACGTATGCCAGATAATTACGAGCGAGCGAGCGCAGCGAGCGAAGTGAGTCTTTTCAATATAACGGAAAAATCTCAGTATGAGCGGCCCGGCCCGGCCCGGCCCGGCCCGGCCCGGCCCGGCCTGTAACGCTTTTGAGAGGCTTATATCTCAGCAACCGCTGGACCGATTGGCCTGCGGTCTTTTTTGTTGGGTAGGCCCATCCCTTCTACCCCGTAATTGACTACTTTTGATCAGGGCTGCGGAGTCGATGGATTTTCGGCGACTCCGACTCCGACTCCGACTCCGGCTTTCAAAAACCAGCTCCGACTCCGACTCCGACTCCGGGCAGAATTGTCGACTCCGACCGACTCCAACTCCCGACTCCGACTCCGCAGACCTAGCAGGGCTGCGGAGTCGACAGATTTTCGGTGACTCCGACTCCGACTCCGGCTCGAGTTTCTAAAATCGACTCCGACTCCGACTCCGACTCCGGTCACAACTGTCGACTCCGACCGACTCCGACTCCGACTCCGACTCCGACTCCGCAGCCCTGCTTTTGATACATCTCAGTGACCGTCGTGGCACGTGCCACGTGAAAAGTCAGGGGTGTTCAAGCTGTTTTGCAAAAGTAGTGATTTTGAGAGGCTCATATCTCAGCAGCCGCTTGGGCGATTGACTTGCGGTAATTTTTGTAGGGTAGCAGCATCCCTTCTACCCAAAATAGGATACTCTCGATGTATGTGGATCACCCCCAGTGCACGTGCAAAATACAACAATAAGAGGTGCCAAATTTGTTCCCATTTCAGTAACTCGGTAATTACTGGGGCGATTTCGCTGAAACTTGGCATACAGGTAGGCACCCACCAGGCATTGCATTCCCATGTGTTGCGGTTAGGGTGCTACTGCACGTGCGCACGTGCAGGGGGCGTTTCCAGATCTCGAGAACGGCTGGGCCGATTGCGCTCAAATTTGGTACACGGTTGGGGACCAGTTAGTAGGGTGCCGTGCAAAAGTCATTTTGGTCCCCGTTTGCACGTGCGCACGTGCAGAATGCCGCTTCCAGATCTCAGGAACGGCTGGGCCGATTGCGTTCAAATTTGGCACACCGCTAGCGACCAGTTAGAAGGGTGCTTTGCACAAGCCCGTTGGAAGCACCCTCTAGCCCTTCCGCACGTGCAGGGCTCACTATCTCGCTCTCTCGTTCTTCGCCCAAAAGGCGTTTTACTGGTTACCCTAATACCGTACCGTGTGTCAAGATACCTATAAATAACAGGTACGGTCAGAGTTTGAGATATGGAAGCATTTTAATCACGACATACATGGCGCAGATGAAACATATCTTGACGCAAATATTCAGCTAGGGTCGTTGTTTAGCATTAGTTTGATTGCGTCATAACAACACTGAGGCTGTGCGACTTACGTGTAAGATGTGTTTTATGACGTCAAAATTACGTCATTTTTACCTTGTTTACGAAAATGTAATGCACTAGATCAAATCACGTCGAATGTTTTCGGCAAGGTATATTGGTTTTCGGGACATTTGAAAGTTGAATTGGGGGTCGCCGCGGATATATTTATTATTCATAGGCGTCGTGGGTTGTTGCGTGGTGGTCATGGGGCATCAGTTGGTGATTTATAACATTTTGCTTTGATTTCTGATTGCTGATGATTTAAATTATATGATGGTTTACTGTGCGGAACCTTCGTGTAGAAATGGGTCCGGGAGGAGAAATAACCAGGCGTCCGGCACCAAATATCATAAGTTCCCAGCGGATGAAGTGATGGCAAGGCGATGGTGGCAGGTCATAAAAAGAGGGGAGCCGTTCCCGAAGAACTTCCGCCAGTATTGTTTGTGTTCTTCACATTTTGTAACTGCTGATTATGAAAGAGACCTCAGGTCAGAACTGCTTAAGTTGTCCCCGCAGTATTCTGCCATGAAGCTGCTGCCTACATCAGTCCCATCCAGGAACCTGACTCGTCCTCCAAGGTAAACTCATCTGACCTCATCTGACATCACACTGTGTTTTTTGCGTGCGGTTTTCGCGAGTTTGCGGGTTTTCAAAGTATTGTTCTAGTAAAAACATTGTTTTTGTGATATGTTTTGGTATTATATTTTAGTTACTATAAGAGTTTTATTAACTTTTGTATATAGCTAATGTAAAAGTTAAATTATTAATTACTTTTCTAGATCGATATTTCGCAAAACACGCAAACCCGCAAAAAACGCATGCAGAAAACGCATAGGTAGTGTAGCGTTAAGCTACACTACCATAGGCTAGGCGTTAAGTGTGCCCATCAGATATTTATGAGTTTACCTATTGGTTGAATAGCAAATCTGTATACACCTTATGGACAGCTCGCTTTTCAGCTGTCCGGATTGGTGAATAACCCATTTTTGAGGGACCTTTTTTGGCAATACATTAAGCATGTGCTGTGAATGGAAGGCTAGGGTTTATGGATAGTTGGGTATAGTCGAAATTACCCCATTTTGCCTTTTTTGTTATAAGCAAAGCTCAGCTGAACAAACAACTTAATTTTGAACTTCTTGTTAGCTCTGAGTTACGAGCTAGAATAGGCATCATTAATGTTATGTATTTAGCAGTAAGGGTTCGTTACTAAAGTCAGTTATCTTTACAGAGTCACAACACCAAGGAGTGGTGCTGCTACACAGAGAGGTGGAGAGGAAGATGAGTCAAGGCAGGTGCAAGAAGAAGGAGAACAAGCAGCTCCCAAAGGCTCATCACTCCAAGCAGAAGAATGCCTGCATTCAGATGCATCTGTACAGACGAAGTGTGAGCCTTCAAAGTACGTCATATTTTATTTAACTTATTTCAGATACATTTCAAGTATGTCATTTATGTGCACATGTCTATGACTTTACTAGGAAATAGGTGCAGTTTGAAACATACATTTAATTTCTGTCATTGCCCAATATTGGTGGAAGATTGGTTAAGAATATCTTCCCCTCAAGCTCAGTGTTACTATAAAGTCAGGAATAAAAGCTGGTAATTGCTTTATAGCACAGTACCTGCAGATTGTGGAATATTAGTTACAATCAATACTCACACATGAATGAAACACACACCTGCACCTTATGCCCTCCCCCCCCCCCCACCCCACCCATGCTCACATGAATAGCTGATAGCACCCATGATAGCTAAAATTACTTCTGTATTTTGAAATCCCTTTCTTGTTCTGATGATCCTTTTGTCCTAACAGGTGTACCAGATGCCCAGCACTTGAGGCTGAACTGGCAAGCCTGAAGAGCAAACTGGCAGAGCTACACCAGCTGCAAGCCCCCTCAAGTGCACTGAAACGACACCTGTTCACAGACCAGCAGGTGCGTACTGTTAGTGATATTGAGGATATTGTTTATTAGGGCTTTAGGGCGCGTTGACTGCGGTGGTCATTATGCATATTGAGAAATTGAGGTTGAGGATATTGAGCCATTACTTACTATTCATCTTCTATGAATATAATGCAAGTAAAGATTTGTGATAGAGTACTCAAACATCAACATTAACATTAATATGAGTTCTCAGTGTTCTGGTTATTTACCATCATATGTTATAAGGGTGCTTGAGCCTTGAGGTCAGTTTATCCCGCTTTCTGTCTTCCCCTATACTAGCTTAGAAGCATGGGTGTAACTTTGGTATTTCTTTGGTAGGGCCCAGGCTCCCAATGTTGAGTTGAGCCTCCTGCCCTTCCCATCGATATTGGCAGGGCAGTGGGTCATATATGATGGTAAATACACATACATAATGACTTTGATGGTACCCTGAACAGTTTGCACTGAGCCTTTCCCCCAGGCCCCAAATCAGTTTGAAAAGTTACTCTCATGGTTTCTTGATGTCTGGTGATCTGGTCTTCATGTGTTGACTCGATAACTTGATGATTATGATTAGGTCTCTCCACAATGGTTCACATGATTGTGATTAGGTCTCTTCACTGCAGCTGTTCCAGCTGTTTGCTAATATGTTGCTTCTCTGTGTTTTTCAGGCTGAGAACCTCTTCACTGGCAAGGCACCATACCGGTGGGACGACGAATCAGTGTACAAGGCTCTGGAGGTCAGAGTCAACACGTCCAGGGTGCAGTACGAGTGGCTCCGAAACCACTGCTTGCCCCTGCCAAGTCTGTCTACCCTACAGAGGTGGCTCGCTGACTTCGTTTTGGCGCCCAACTCATCTGATGTGCAGGTCAGGATGCTCAGGAGACTCCTCTCGTCCATGAGTGAGCAGGACAGGTGCTGCTGCATCATGATGGATGAAATGGACATCATGGGTGTGGCCACCTATGACAACCAGCTTGATCAGATCTTGGGTCCCCACAAACACCTTCAGCTCTTCCTTGTGAGTGGGATCTTCACGACATGGAAGCTTCCCATGTTGTACGCGTTCGACACGCCTGTGACCAAGGAACTGCTGCTGAAGCTGATCAAGGCTGTCGAAGGAGCCGGCGGCCGAGTCGTCAGCACCGTCAGCGACATGGGCTCGGGCAACCTGGCGCTGTGGCGGAGCCTGGGCATCGGCCACGACGCTGAAGCGTCCATCTGCACTACCCCGCCGACCCTTCGAGGTGAGTGGCAAATGAAGGAAGGAATGGAACGAACAGTTCTGAGTTGTTCATGCATAGCATGAACACCATTCGCATGTACTAAGCAATCCAAACGTCCCCAACCTCACGGTCGTCAAGTTAGATGTAAGTGAATCCTAATCTATAATCTAAGATTCGGAATCAGGTGAGCCCCCACGATTTGGACCAAACTTGGTCAGTAGATAGTACGTAACGTCCTGATTACGATGCACCCAAAATTTAAGCTCGGCCCGCCATATTTACGAAGTTACGGATGTTTGAATTTCAAGGTCATTCGGGAGAGCCCCTGCGATTTCCGTCAAAATTTGTGTACGGACACTCTAGATGCTCCTCATTACGAATATCACAAAATTTAAGCTCGGCCCGCCATATTTACGAAGTTACGGAGGTTTGAATTTCAAGGTCATTTGGGTGAGCCCCTGCGATTTCCGCCAAAATTGGTATACGGACATATTACATCCTCCTCATTACAAATATCATAAAAGTTAAGCTCGGCCCGCCATATTTTTCAAGTTACGGAGTCACAAAGTTACGGAGTTTCAAGGTCATTCGGAGAGCCCCTCCGATTTTCGTCAAAATTTGTATGCGGACACATTACATGCTCCTCATTACGAATATCGTAAAAGCTAAGCTCGGCCCGCACTATTTCAAAAGTTACTCACGTTTGAAACTCACTGAAATTCAAACATCTCTAACTTTTGAAATAGTGCGGGCCGAGCTTAGCTTTTACGAAATTCGTAATGAGGAGCATGTAATGTGTCCGCATACAAATTTTGACGAAAATCGGAGGGGCTCTCCGAATGACCTTGAAACTCCGTAACTTTGTGACTCCGTAACTTGAAAAATATGGCGGGCCGAGCTTAACTTTTATGATATTTGTAATGAGGAGGATGTAATATGTCCGTATACCAATTTTGACGGGAATCGCAGGGGCTCACCCAAATGACCTTGAAATTCAAACCTCCGTAACTTCGTAAATATGGCGGGCCGAGCTTAAATTTTGTGATATTCGTAATGAGGAGCATCTAGAGTGTCCGTACACAAATTTTGACGGAAATCGCAGGGGCTCTCCCAAATGACCTTGAAATTCAAACATCCGTAACTTCGTAAATATGGCGGGCCGAGCTTAGATTTTGGGTGCATCGTAATCAGGACGTTACGTATTATCTACTGACCAAGTTTGGTCCAAATCGTAGGGGCTCACCTGATTTTCGTAATGAGGAGCATGTAATGTGTCCGCATACAAATTTTGACGAAAATCGGAGGGGCTCTCCGAATGACCTTGAAACTCCGTAACTTTGTGACTCCGTAACTTGAAAAATATGGCGGGCCGAGCTTAACTTTTATGATATTTGTAATGAGGAGGATGTAATATGTCCGTATACCAATTTTGACGGGAATCGCAGGGGCTCACCCAAATGACCTTGAAATTCAAACCTCCGTAACTTCGTAAATATGGCGGGCCGAGCTTAAATTTTGTGATATTCGTAATGAGGAGCATCTAGAGTGTCCGTACACAAATTTTGACGGAAATCGCAGGGGCTCTCCCAAATGACCTTGAAATTCAAACATCCGTAACTTCGTAAATATGGCGGGCCGAGCTTAGATTTTGGGTGCATCGTAATCAGGACGTTACGTATTATCTACTGACCAAGTTTGGTCCAAATCGTAGGGGCTCACCTGATTCCGAATCTTAGATTATAGATTAGGATTCACTTACATCTAACTTGACGACCGTTCATTCAGAAAGTATCAATAAGATAAAAACGCATTTCAATTATATTTAATGTTTTTTAGACGGTCGTCAAGTTAGATGTAAGTGAATCCTAATCTATAATCTAAGATTCGGAATCAGGTGAGCCCCTACGATTTGGACCAAACTTGGTCAGTGGATAGTACGTAACGTCCTGATTACGATGCACCCAAAATCTAAGCTCGGCCCGCCATATTTACAAAGTTACGGATGTTTGAATTTCAAGGTCATTCGGGAGAGCCCCTGCGATTTCCGTCAAAATTTGTGTACGGACACTCTAGATGCTCCTCATTACGAATATCACAAAATTTAAGCTCGGCCCGCCATATTTACGAAGTTACGGAGGTTTGAATTTCAAGGTCATTTGGGTGAGCCCCTGCGATTTCCGTCAAAATTGGTATACGGACATATTACATCCTCCTCATTACAAATATCATAAAAGTTAAGCTCGGCCCGCCATATTTTTCAAGTTACGGAGTCACAAAGTTACGGAATTTCAAGGTCATTCGGAGAGCCCCTCTGATTTTCGTCAAAATTTGTATGCGGACACATTACATGCTCCTCATTACGAATATCGTAAAAGCTAAGCTCGGCCCGCACTATTTCAAAAGTTAGAGCTGTTTGAATTTCAGTGAGTTTCAAACGTCAGTAACTTTTGAAATAGTGCGGGCCGAGCTTAGCTTTTACGATATTCGTAATGAGGAGCATGTAATGTGTCCGCATACAAATTTTGACGAAAATCAGAGGGGCTCTCCGAATGACCTTGAAATTCCGTAACTTTGTGACTCCGTAACTTGAAAAATATGGCGGGCCGAGCTTAACTTTTATGATATTTGTAATGAGGAGGATGTAATATGTCCGTATACCAATTTTGACGGAAATCGCAGGGGCTCACCCAAATGACCTTGAAATTCAAACCTCCGTAACTTCGTAAATATGGCGGGCCGAGCTTAAATTTTGTGATATTCGTAATGAGGAGCATCTAGTGTGTCCGTACACAAATTTTGACGGAAATCGTAGGGGCTCTCCCGAATGACCTTGAAATTCAAACATCCGTTACTTCGTAAATATGGCGGGCCGAGCTTAGATTTTGGGTGCATCGTAATCAGGACGTTACGTACTATCCACTGACCAAGTTTGGTCCAAATCATAGGGGCTCACCTGATTCCGAATCTTAGATTATAGATTAGGATTCACTTACATCTAACTTGACGACCGTCCCAACCTCATGATATATATCATATAATAATCAGGTTCAGCTGGTGTCACGATAACATGAATCCTGTTGAACACTTAATAAGATATCAAAATACTTTTAGTGGCCAAGTTTTTGAGCTGCCTGACAAATTGGATGGGTATCAGGTGTCCATGTGGTAATTACATTTCACTTCTTCTGATGTTATATGGTATCGTGCGTTTAGCACTGACATGTTGGTAACTGAACCTAAATCTTGGACTTTTGTGCTGTGTGCAACTGCACACTGCCAACTGCACACTGCACATATTGTGTGCAATGGCCCAACTAACACATTGTCTTGATGCGTGTATGTTTCAGGATGCTTGCACATTGTCATCAGCACCATCATATCCTAACCCATCATTTGATCATATCCTTCTATACCTGACTACCATATCCAATTCTGTCCTTTCCTCAGACGGATTTGGGTGTTCGCCGACCCTCCCCACATCATGAAGCGTTTGCGTAACCACATCCTCGACAGCGTCATCCACACGAGGCAGGGTGGCCGCGTGGACCGCGCTCTCATCCAGGACCTCCTCGCCATCGACGGAGACTCGGAGCTGAAGCTTCTTCACAAACTACAACCGGCCACACATGTCGAGGTGAGCGCCGGCTGCACAGCTTATCACCCATGGAGGGGGCCGGGTACAGGGGCGGATCCAGAAAATCTCCAAGGGAGGGGCCATTAGAAACCAGGAGGCCCCCATAATCCCACCTGTTGGAGGCCCCATCTTCCCACTTGTTGGGCCCCCCCCAAAAAAAAACTGCGTCTATTGAGCTTATCTAGCTGTTCAGGCAACATCTCAACATGAATAGCCACTTTATTTTCAGGAGGCCCCCTTTTCAGCTTTTTAACTTTTTATTTTATTTTTGAAAAAAATCGGCCAAGGGGGGGGGGGCATGGCCCCCATGGCCCCCCCCCCTTGTATCCGCGCCTGGCCGGGTATGTCTGTGTTCACTTCCAGTGTGATAGCAGGGCTTGTTCAATTGTTTGTTGTTGATGTTTTATTGTTATTTTTCTATTGCTTATTAGATATTATTGTTTTGGCAATCCACTGCTGACTACATCGAGACCCCTGAGGTCAGGTGACATTAGAGTCATTGAGTCAATTAATATGTGTAAACAGTAAAATAATCCACAAAATCAGCGCAATCATATCGCGCCCGGCCGATTAAGTGTGCAGTAGCATTTTAACATATTGTTTCTGTTTCATCAGGTCGTTGGCATGGCTCGGCAGAAAGTGCGCCCAGCCTACCAACTGCTGAGCGCGTCATGCGCCCTGGCACTTCGGCGTTACACCGAGAAGAAAGTGGAGGCAGACTTCTTCAGCATCTTGGACGCCGGGATGGACGTCCTAAACGCAGGTCACCCCGCTGACGTGAAGTTACTCCGGCGTGGCTACTCTGGCCGACCGGAGCAGGAAGACGCCCTGACGGCCCTGGTCGAGGAAGTGGCGGCGTTCCGGGTCGGCAAAGCGGGCTTCCTCTACCCTTTCCAAAAGGGCCTTCTGGTCACCGTCCGTGCAGTGCGAGGTGTGCTGGCGGACCTCCAGGCCAGGTTCGGCGACAACACCTACCTGTTGACGCGACACCTAACGCAGGACCGACTGGAGAGTTTCTTCGGTCTGGTGCGGGGACGCGGCGGTGGGAACCTGAACCCCACGCCCACAGAGGCGAAGGCCCGTCTGCGGCTGCTGACGCTGCTGCAGCTGACCCGGCACGGCGTCAGCCCGAAATGTACAGGTGACGGCGGAGAGACGGACGCCGTGCCTGACGTCTCGCAGCCGGAGCCCGACGCCATGCCTGCGGCGCAGCCGGAGCCCGACGCCGTGCCTGCGGCGCAGCAGGAGCTCGACGAGGAGCCGCCGCCGCCTCCGCAGCTGCTGGAGCTGGAGGAGGTTTGCCCCGCGCCCACGGAGGAGATCCCGGAGGGGACTGAACACCTGGTGCAGGAGCCGGACGACGAGCCGTCGCCGGATGCTGAGGAGGAGGCAGAACGGGAGCTTCTGGACGCCGAGCTCGGAGAGGCGTGCCATGACACGGGTGAACCTGAACAGGAAATGGAGCCACGTGAACAGACTAGCGAGCTGGTCTCCCTGCTGGCAGAGGCAGGTTCAGTCCACATCCCGGGTCAGCCGTCTGGTGCCCGTGATTGTGAAACCGGAGTGCTGGCGTCCGACAGTGCTCTGGCTCACGTCGCAGGTTACGTTGCGCGAAAGCGCCCGCGATCCCTCGGCGCACCCTCCGCCCATGCCGAGGACGTCCCCGTCCAGGCACTGTGGACGCGGCTGCGCAGTGTTGGAGGTATGACTGTTCCCACCGAGTCTTTCTTGGAACTGTGCAGGGAGCTCGAGACCTGTTTCTGTGCCTACCATGCGATGCACCCCGATGGGCTCAGTCGAGAGCGCGGCGTCATCCGCAACGCCACCCGTATGATGGTCGAGAAATATTCGCGGAGCGTGCCGTGTGACAAAATCCTGAAAGTGTTCGTTCGTGTGCGAACCTTTATCCGCCTGCGAACAGTGAACTCGACTCGACGTGCGGAGACGCTGGCTAAGCGGAAGGTGCGGAAGCTGCGTCACCACGCACAGTAAACAGATTGGCAGAGGCACACATCATTCATTACATCGCGATATTATTTATTGATCTCTTGAGCCTTTCTTTTTTGTTACAGCTGGGTAGTCGTTCAGTTTGTGCCTGAATCGAGTTTCCAGACCTTCTGCTAGCTACCGTCTCCACACGGCGAACTGGGTCCAATTTGTGACAGGTGCTCGAAAATGCGTCCGTGTACAGGGTGGGCCAAAAAAAGTGTGTCACTTTTCAGCAGCTATTTCTCGAAAGTGGTAAGAGATACCAAAAAGAAACTTTCACAACTTAAAGAAAATCGTTTGACAAATTATATGACACCCATTTTATGAAAAAGTTTCAGTTGAACTGATGTTGCCATCACCATTTCAAAAATGGGATATGTGCGTCTTTTATGTTTGCCCATGTGCTCGAAGTGGGCACCTCAACGCTCAAGGCACGCCTGAACACGCTCCAGGAAACTGGCGCCCACTCTCTCCGCGGTGCCTGCTGGCACGACACGCACGTATTGATCGACGCTGAGACGCAGCTCCTCCAGGCTACCGAGCTTGTTGTGGTAGACGCTGTCGCTGTCCTTTCAGGCTCCCCAAAAACCAGTAGTCCAGCGGGTTGAGGTCAGGACTGTGAGGAGCCCACTGCTTTTCGCTTCCCTTGGTGATAACGCTACAAGCTTTGTTCATGCAAGATGTAGAGCCACCGCACACGGCCCGAGAGACACTGCAGCTGCTCCAAGAGCTCTTCGGTTGCCGCGTGATCTCCAAGGGAAGCGAAAAGCAGTGGGCTCTTCACAGTCCTGAGTCTGACCTTAACCGGTAACCCGCTGGACTACTGGTTTTGGGGAGCCTGCAAGGACAGCGTCTATCGCAGCAAGCCCGGTAGCCTGGAGGAGCTGCGTGTCAGCGTCGATCAATACGTGCGTGAAGTGACAGCAGCCACCGCGGAGAGGGTGAGCGTCAGCTTCTGGAGCGCGTTTCCGGATGGCCTTCAGCTTAGCGGTGCCCACTTCGAGCACGTGCGCAAATAAGAGACGCACAGATCCCGTTTTTTAATGATGATAATTACGTCAGTTCGATTGAAGCATTTACATAAAATTGGTATCATATAATTTGTCAAACGATTTTCTTTAAGTTGTGAAAGTTTCTTTTTCGTATCTTTTACCACATTCGAGAAATTACTGCTGAAAAGTGACACACTTTTTTTGGCCCACCCTGTACAGTGAGGGCGGAAATGATGTGATGTCGCTTAGGAGCCACTCGTGATGTATCGTTTTCATGATTCATTTTCCTTAAACTAGCTTGACTGTTAGCTGGCAACGTGCCATTTTATGTTGCACACATCTGCGATGATCGACGGCCAGCGCCTGCTGGCGGCACCGCTGCCGCCGCCCAGCGCCGCCTCTGCCCGCCGCCGGCGCCCAGCAGCCACCTGCGGTGGAGGCTGTCCCCGACGCACCCCGACGCTCACGCCGAAGGCGCCTCGCGCGGCGTCGCCTCCAAGTTCGGTGGGGCGCAATCTCTTACCGCGGGCGAGGGGACAATTGAGCTTCATGTTGCACAGTATTTGTTGATTTCCGTTATTGTCCGCAACAATTGTCTCAAGGGAGAGATGTGATGTCGTCTGATGTAAGATGATATGTGATGTGATGGAGATGTGATTCCGTCTACCCACTAACCCCTCCCCTCGCTGAATACAGCTCTGTTCCTGATAACTTTTCTATAATGCGCATTGTGATAATCGATAATCGGACTAATTCAGTGACTTAATAACGACAAAGACCAGAGCAATTGGATGCAAAAATATTGCGTGTGTTCGTGTTTTAGATGCAACAAACGAAGGGCTTGTTATGCCGTACGAGCTAACGTGTAGTCACGGTTGTAGTTATCGAGCGTAATACCTGTAAATATACAATACCTGTACAGGTACAAGGCATTAAAAATACTTGTGTCATATATATAACGCATTGCGGCGGCGCCCAATACGTTAACCCGCGCCCGGCTGGGGGTCCTGGATTTCCACGCCCTGCTGGGGGGGGGGGGGTGTTTGAACACCCCCCCCCCCTTGTAACTCGGCTCCTGGGCCACGTAGCGATACGCAGAAGGCGGCGTTCGAAAGAGCGTCAAAAATAATGACGAAATCACTTCGGTCAATTTTTTGGTCAGGTCAAAGGTCAGGTCACCAGAGGTCATTGAAGGCAAAATTTCGCCGATTTCTAGGTCGAATGTCGAAAATTTCCAAGAAGCCAACGCATAACTCGGGAACCAATAGAGCTACAGCGCCGCGGAAAAGCGCATTTGATAGCCCTATTAACGCCCTTTCTGAGTAATTCTCTCAGATTTGACCTAGCGTCAACGGTTTTGCCTGCAGGGGGCAAAAACTGCAAAAATAGCCGATTTTTTCGAAAACAGTTTTTCTGCAATAACTTTTGTTCCAAGCCTTGTACGAGCTTACTTTTACCGGCATCGTGTTCCTCTCGTCAAGACGCATCGAATGAACTATAACTTGACCTTGAAAGGTCAACTTGAAAATTTGACCTCAGGTCAAGGTCATGACCTGACCGGAAAGGGTCATGTTGCATATCAGTCGATCCGTATCGTCGAGCTGAACACATCTAAGGCGTTTTCATCGCTCTAGCATGCCTCTATCAAAAGTTATTTGCGAAAAACTGTTAGATACCATTCGTGACCTAAGATGACCTCAGGGCATAAACAAGGGTCACGGACACCATTTTCATGTTCAGTGTGTCTAAACCACTTGTAATTCGGTGTTTGGGAGTGTTTATAATGTCTTTCGTCCAAAAGAGGCGCATTTCAATTTTCTCCCATTGACTTATAATGGGGAGGTCGCAAAATTGACCTGACCTTAGGTCATAGATATCAAAATTCTGAGATATACATTTTGTACATGCTATTGCTCTTAGCAATCGCTGAAAGTTTCAAAGCGATCAGTCACTCGGTGTAGCTATGACAAACATTGAAAGTTTTTATGAGGTGAGGTCACTTCAAGTGACCTGGTGACCTGACCTTGAATGACCTTGGTCTGAAATTTTCACAACATGTGTAGAATTGATGTATGATAAGGTGTACCAAAAACGGCGGCGCTCCGCGCCGCCGTTTTTGAGATATTCGCGAAAAACCACAAGGGGGGGGGGTGTTCAAACACCCCCCCAGCAGGGCGCGGGTTAATGCGAACTCAATGCCTAAACACGAACGCTGGGCGCCGCCGTCTCTCCGCTATCATAATAGATACCGAGGGGATGTCCAACCCTGCTTTCGGCATCCGGAAAATCGGGGAGAATTAACCGGGATCAGCGAGAATTATCGGGGATCACGTTCGGTATCGCGACAACGAGACATGCTGAAGAATCTTCAGCATCTTCAGTGAAGATAGGCGCTCACCAATAATTATCCGACGGATAATATCCGAGGGACAATATTTTCCGGATACCGAAAGCACCCCAGATATGATATCCCCTAGCGGCCCCGCGCGGGCCGGATCACGTGACCTGACTAGGTGACATGAAGCGAAATGAAGCAATGTCAGAACTTTGGTGCAATCTTCCATTGTCCAAACAGTGGTGCCAGAACCGCAAGCACGTAACGCCATGTCCAGAATGAATAAACCCATTAGAACCACGTATGCCCATCTTAAAGGATAGGCGGACTGAGTGTTAAATACTGCGATTTTTTTCCTGTTTGCAATCAAGACATGGCAAAAATCGATACGGATCTGGAAAAAGGACTAATTATGCTTCAATATGCCCCAAGTTTCATATTTGTATTCTCAATTTCAAGCAAAATATCTTAAATCGAAGTTGGGCCAAAACTGCCGTTTCCCCCATTGTTAACAATGGTGAAGGGAAAAATGAAGGGAAAAGTCAAGCGCGCGTGACGTCACCGGCGCTTGACGCTACCAACGGCTCTGACTGGGGGCCGCCGTGTGTAACAGACCATTTCCCGCTGCACCATCAGCAGTGGCCCAGCGTGAAGCTGCCGCATTGCCGAGTCGATGACAAACGACCAGCCACCTGCTGTGACCGCGGCGACACAGTGCACTCCTAATCAGAGTCGGCGCGGCGAGCGAACCGCGCCTCCTCGCGGCTCGTGCACGGCCGCCGCCGTCCGGCCGGCATCATTTGTCAGCATCGCGCACCATTACCGCTCAGTGGACCCCGAGGACGGCTGGCGAGGTGCGTGACGGAGAGGGCCGAGTTCCCGGCGAGCCGCGGGGGCCGGAGCGTCACGGCAGATCGTCGCGCCGTCACGGAGAGGGCCGTCACGGGGAGAACCGTCACAAAGAGGACCGTTCACAGTCCCAGGATCTCACTGACACGAAAAGGGCTGTCATCGAGCCTCTTCGATCGACACGGGATATGTTGCCTCGGGAACTATTCGACGCGGGCTGTGCCGTTGTGGGGCCTCCCCGACCCGGCGAAACTCACTGCCATTGGAGTGATTTCATAACGGGCATCACAAGGACCGACGGAGCGCTGCGTGATCTCAACATTCCAGAGCACGATCGTTGCATCAAACATATCCTTTTTTCAGACTCCGTGGGTCATCCAATGTCCCATTCACACTTGACTTTAGCATATACTCAAGAAGCTTCCTGAGTCCGCCGACTTGCATGAGAACGAGAGGCACTACTGATTTGTCGCGTGAAGGCTGATTCTTCCACGCCCAACAGCTCCCAGCCGCTTCCAGGACGGAAGCGGTTTGCCAAAGCTTGGAACTGCGTCTACCAACATCCACCTTCAAGCACCAAGGCACATCTGCTCCCCTTGTGTCTGAGTAAGTGCTGAGGAGTTATCGGATTAATTTTGTTTGCTGGAGGGGGAAAGTTTTCGTTTTGACTTATCTCCCCGTCAGCCTGACAGATGCCACGCATTCTAAGGCGCGGTAAGAAAGCATGGGGCAGTATTTCTGTAATAAAGCCACCCTCTTCCGGAAGGGAGGTTGACACATGAGCTCAGGACGCAGCTCACATTCTGTGGGAGCTAAGGAAGTGGGGGACCGATAGGAGCTTAGCTAGGGAGGGGGACGGAATAAGAAGTCATTTGATCGCTAGAGGACGAAAACCCACAGGGTACTGTTCAGCAAGCACGAGTTACGCAAGGCCATAACTAAAATAAGAGATACAACCATCCATGGAAAATAGTATCATCTCTTATAAAAAACAACAACGAGAAATTTATCTTAAAGATATTCTGGATTGCAATCATTAATAGGTACCGTCTGCAACTCCAGGCTTCTGTCTCTTGCAGAAGCCTTGAGTTTCTTCTGTCTCTTGCAAAGTAATTAAAAACGTTTTGAAGGTATGCACATATTCATTTTGAATCCTGAGACACTTTGTCATAAGATTTTATTTCCAAAGATAACACACTGAGAGTGACATGATAAAAGAGAATGCATGAAGGAGACATTGAATTGCAAATTGGGTCTGGGTGTCCAGAAAAAAGATACTACGGAAATTAAGTCGCATTCATTAAAGGAAATAGTTCACTTTTAACATGGGGTTTGGAACTGGAATAGCAGTTTTGTTGCTTGCGCTGAGACTAGCACAAATCAGAAGCTTTTACGACCCAACGATCACCCTAGACGAAGATATTCCATTTTTCGTGCCGATAAGAGTGCCTTGCAGAGGAATGCGTGCCTTGCTGAGGAATGCAATCACGTCATCGTCAGCCAATCAGAATGCTGCTTACAGCCGATGGGTTTGTCCTACGCAATATGATTGGTCAACGCGTAATAAGCTTCCGCGTCAAACATTATTTTATATAGAATATAGTTCTTCTTATACTAAAATATAGAAAATAATCCTTTTTACAATAACGTTTTGTTTTATTTTCTGTTCATTTTGAGCATAAAAAAACATAAATCCATAGCAAAATACTAATTTAAGGAAAGTGAACTATTTCCTTTAACGCACGTGCCGATTTTGTTCCAAATTCATGTGCTTATAGTGCAAGATTTGGCAAAACTCATGAGCACAATGCGTCGTTGGAAAGTTGTCTGCTTGCCCTCCGAGATGGTCAACATGACCATCAGTCACCTGCAGGCTGTGCTAGTGCTGGAGCTGATCCGCCGTAAGGCCGCTCACATTGAGTATCTGCTTTGAGGAGCTGCCGCAACTAACCCGCGCCCAGATGGGGTCTGCCGAGCAACGCGGTCTGATGGGGGGGGGGGGGCATTTTGGCCCCCCCCTCAGATCTCGAGAACCACGCAACATAGCGACAAGCGGTAAACGGTGTTGGATAGCCCCAGCGGGGAACTACCTTGTGACCCAATTTCATTGACCTCGGTCAAACCGATGACGTCACAGGTCAGGTCAAAGGTCGAATTTTCACCGTTTACAGGCATTTCAAGAAATGCGTTGTAAAATCGAGTAAAATGCATTTCATTGAAAATCATCGATGGAGAAATGTTCTTCAAACACATATTTTGCTATTTGAGGTCACTGATACCAGGTCAGGTCACAGAGGTCAGGTCACTGGGGGGGTCACAATATGAAAGTGTCGTGTGATACATGTTTTATGGTCCATTTTACATGACAAATGCGATTATGTGGGTCAGACAGACTTTAGGGCCAGCTTAGGTCACGTTTTGGTCAAGGTCAGGTCAAGGTCAGGTCAAGGTCAGGTCAAATTAGGTCAAATTTCAAAGTTGATATTTTGCATAAAATGGGTATCGATTCGATGCAGCTCGTCAC